TTAAAAATATGCGTCGAAATTCAAAATAACTCGATTTTAAACTATGAAAAGGAAATGTGTCTAATTCTGCCATGTAGTCTACTGAGCTACAATATTAGCGAAGAAATCGTGACATTTTCAAAAAACTCCATGCTACAACCATGTTTTGAATAGAGATTCATCATCATTATTCAATATACTATAGTGAAGTTTATCGATCACGATTATTGACTGAGGATAAAATTGACATGAATTAGCTATACAAAAATAAGATGGCTTACCCCAATAATTTATAGGACGCTACTTCACATGAAAGGAATTAAATTGCTCTTATAGCTTTGAAAAACTTTTTCACTTATAAGAACGGCTTGCTCCAATAGCTTGAAACACTTTAGATAATTCGTTTAAATCTATTGAGAAAGACCGAGTTTAAGTTTTGATAGGAACATGCAATAAAAAAATTGAATAATTGAAAAAAGTTATAATTTCCACACAACTGCATGTGTTCCCTGTCATGAATCGAAGTTATGAAGGGACGCAAAATAGATTGAAGTTTTATGTGAGGTTTGAAGGACCAATTAATATTTATCATAAAATCGTACAACTTGAAAGAATGAAAACACATGAGAGACTTGTAGAACAAATGTCTGATCAATCATGTAGACACATTTTTAAATATTATCCCATATTAATTTTCTAGGTTAACAATTGGCTAAACTGAAATAATATGCACAACCAAATCTATGCTAATTGTTGAATTTTTTTGCAAAATATACCTACTTACATTTGTACCAGCTCATTCAACTCTATTTAATTTTCCTTGCTCGAATTCTTCGAGTGAGATCTTATAGCCTGACAGCGCACATGACTGTTGGAAATATTTGAAGTTAAATAATTCAGCCGGAAATTCTGATCAATCAACAAATTTTAATTTTATTATATAAACCGAGATTCTAATTTCCACTATTAAAATTAAATTATCGCCTTAAGAACAGCGATATTTGATAAATAAGAAATGAAGTCAAGTACCCCGAAAACGCTCAGACGTATTAAAACTCTACGAGATGTTTCCCCTGTCGCTCTTCATTTTTACAACACTTCTCTTTAACTTCACTGCTTGCTGTTTCTTTGTCTGTCTGTCTGCTACAAATCTTATAATTGATATTTAACACACTTCTACCTGCTCAATCGATCTGAAATTTGGCACACTTGCATAAAGTTTGAGACAATGCATGAATCAATTGGCAGAATAAATGATATTAAAAATTACAAAAAATTTTAAATATTAAAAAAATTAAAAATAATTTTGTCAGCCACAAATCTTATTTTCGATATTTGACACACTTCTACCGGTCCAATCGATCTGAAATTTTGCACACTTGCGTAAAGTTGGAAACAATGCATGAATCAATTGACAGAAAGAATAATTTTATAAATTAAAAATTTTTTTTCATTATTAAAAAAATGTAAAAACAATTTCGTCTGCTACAAATCTTATAATCCATATATGACACAATTTGACCTGTCCAATCGATCTGAAATTTTGTACACATGCATGAAGTCAGTGACAATGCATGAATCTGTTGACAGAATAAATAATTTTGTTAATTTACAAAATTTTGATATCATAAGAAAATTGTGAAAAATAATTTTTTTAATATATGAAAATAAAATTATAAATTCATTGTGTAACATCCAAGACACTGGATTTTCCAGAAGTGTTGTCTTTGAAAAGTAATTTTTAAACGCATATTATTCATTCCTAGAAGTCAATCCTTCTTTATATATAGTTTGCTACAGCTTGTCACCGGAATGGGTACGTAGGTTGTGTCTTGAAAATTGTATCATATTTTTGAGTTCAAGAAGGGTCGCCTGCCGAAGACCACCACTGCCCTGGATGTAATGGACCATCATGATTCCTGCCTTCCGGAACGTAGCCTTCAACACTTCAAGCCGTCCGTATCTAGGCCGTGGGTCGAACCAGCCCTCGGTCGAACGGCCACTTGTCGTAGGACGATAAATTTTGGAACAGAACTATGCTATCTGAAACCTAACCTCAGATGCGGTGAACGTAAAATTCCGTAATTTAACGATGCTCGGAAGTCAGATTCGATCCGCGGCCTGGTGGTGCACGGCAGGTGGTGGTCAAGGCCGGAAGAGGAGAAAGCCGAGTGGTGCACGGCTGATTGGTGTAGGTCCAGAGAGTTCCAAAGCGTTCGATTCAGGGCTTATTGGTGCATAAAATTGGTGGTGCACGGCTGCGCTTCCATCTTGAAATATGTTTCAAGAAATTTTCTAGTAAACAGAAGAACATATTTAAAGGCCTTACCAGTAGTTTCACTTGTGATTAGCTGAAGGATGTGACAGATGTATCTCAGGAACTACCTTTTACAATTTTTCAGCACGAAAAAGGTAAAGTCTCAGGCTTCGATCACGATAACACTGTGCCAACTGTGTTCAATTACGGTGCTAACGGTGCAAAATCTGCAAAATTATCATGCTATTAGCAATAAATATTACCGATTTACATTCATAATAGTAAACTTAGAGTAGATCATCATCGATAATTNGGATGCTGGGATAAAACAGAGGGTCATGAGTTTGTATGATGCTGATAGGAATGGGCAGCAGGGTTTGCAGAGGAGGGTTTGATGGATTGTTTGTCTCGTCTTAATGTGGGCTATGTATTTTATACATGAGCTGATGAATGGATGGCCAAATATCACATCCGTTTGTGTAGATGAAGTGTTTGTCGTCTTTCAGAATGGTGAAAAATCTGATAGTGATTGTTTTGAATATTGATTGATTCGTTTTTAACTGCTATTTACATTTAAAGGAGTTTAACAGCAGATTATAGTGTGAGTTGATTCCTCTCCTCTGAGTTTTGGTAGTTGTGTAATGCGATTTACGGTGTCTGAAATAAGTTATTTTGCTTTTTAGCGCATTTTCTCATTTATGGGAAAAGAGGCGCTATTGTGCTCGTCATGTCCGTCCTACTGTCCGTGTGTCCGTCCGTCCGTCTGTCCATGACTTCACGTTTTCTTCGACGACAAAATGCGCTCTCTGTCACTCATTGCAGTGAGTAATGAAACATTTTTAGCGAATAGTTTGTCTTGTGTATCTGAAAAGGATCTGTTCATGACTTGCTACATGGAGTAATGTCAGTGAAGCTTGTTTGAGTAAGACGGGAACATCCCAATTAGCCCAGCGGGCAGCTATCCTATATATGTAGATATTCGAAAAATGAAGCTTACAACTCAGCCACTAGAACCAAATACTAATGATACCAGGTTTTGCTGGGTTCGCATTCAGTTGCTCTGATGTTACCATTTGCTGCAAATCTTGCCCGGCAACAGACTCAATCCGGGCTACTGAAAATGGATCGTTTTTAAAGAAAGAAAATTAAAATACCGGTCGTGGTTTGGGCGTGGCAGGCGAGTTGCATTCGAGTTGCTCAGGATGGGCAATAGCGTGAAGCTATATAAGGCTGGCCGTCTCGTCTGCCGTTGTCGTAATTCACTGGAAGCCGCACTGTCAACTCGCTCAACATGAAGGTTAGAAGATAGGCTCACACTCCTGCCCAGCGTCCTAATTAACTACTTATTTTCTAGTTCAATTTAGTATAGTTGGCTTAATATTTTTAAATTAAGTTTTAATTTGTTTCTTGAAGGATTTAATTCCTGAGTTCTGTTAACCTCAAGGCAAACTTACATACATTTTCAAACAACTAACACACAAGAGCGTTTCAGCTGACTTGTTGAGTAGTATCTTTACAATTATTAATCTCCTTACTATCTTCAGTCATCTGCTCCATGATGTTATTAGAATTGTGTTTAACTGTATTTCATCAACTAAATACGAAGTTGAAACATAGATTTAGCATTTTATTTGTCGCAAACGTTTAATAACGGCACAATGTGTTCCGCAGGTCGCCATCTTCTTCGCTCTTGTAGCCTCCGCCATCGCGGCCCCAAAATATGTGTTCAGCCCTTCAACCGTCGCACAAGGCCCCATCGTCTACTCATCCTCCGGAACTTCAAATCCTCAATTCTTTTCAAGCTTTGTAGCTTCCAGTGGCGTCGTCCCTACCACCTACTCAGGCTTCAAGGGTACTTATGCCTCTTCTCCCGCCGGCACCTTCATTGCTGGGACCGGCCCGATACCTGGTACCCACGCTTCACCCATCACCTACACGGTCGGTAACACTGCACCCATCACCTACGCTGCCGGAAACTTTGCTCCTATTCCATACTCCGCGGGTGTCGCTCCAGTTGGTGTGTTCCCCAAGACGATCCAACAAAACGAAGGCGCCCGCCTCGTCACCTACTGAACACTTTAAGCTGAACTGACGACGCTTTTGAAACTTGAAACCACAGAAATATGAAAATTCCATTAGACATTTTCTTAAACACAATCAGAGCTTCTATAAGTTTGGTTATTTTTGAAAATTCAATATAATAAATCAGTTTTGTTTGGCTTCTTTGTTTTTCCCTGAAGTTCAATTTAAGGGACAATGTTTATGAGCAATATTAGCGAATTATTTCATGCGCACCAATGGCAAAATGGAACGGTTTAATTCGATACAATTCNATTCCGCCTGTCAGAATTTCACTTACGGATATTGAACTTGATTCGTCACTAGACGACATAAAGTTAAAAATTTGTGCTCTGTAATCCTGGTCACGGCACCATTATGTTGGGGACTAATAAAAAAATAAGTATTCTATGACCCCAAACACTTGGCCAATGATCGCAAATTAGCAGGATGAATAAAAACTGATAAGTTAAGAACTATAATAACAAAAGAACGAAAGAACGAAGTAAAGAAACCAAAACATGCCGCATGCCATCAAGTTGAAAGTTGAAAGTTGAGCATCAAGTTGGAAGTACGGTAGGGCATAACAAGAATACCTTACCATGAAGAGCTGCGAACAACAATCCTATACTATAGTAGCTTCAGGGGTCATCTCATCATGATTTAAGGTCGAGTAAGGGTCCAGTTTTGAATTCGAAAACAATGTAATAGCCATAATTACCTTGTAATGAAATAGCCAAATATAACATTGTAATAGTAATGTGAACAGACTAGACAAGGCCATGCATGAGCATATGTTCAGTCTTAAAATGCCTCGTACCCTACGGAACAACTGATATCTTCCGTCCGTAAGGCCAGTCTAGTCAAGAAAAGTACAAGAATCGGCGACAGGCCTATCCAGGCCTATTTATTTAATGCCGAAGATACTATACTATTCTATACTATACTATTTGAAACGTAATTTGACAGTTAAAATGCGGTATTTTCACTGTGAAAATAAGGTGCTTTGAGAATTGAAATCAATTATGTTCGACGGGATTTCGAACTCCGGGATTTTAAAATTGCGAAGATTGTATATCCCTGGCTAACCTTATATTATTTATTGAGTATCTCAGTTTTCTTCAATTCTCGCGCGGTAAATATTTAAGTTCTATTCGAGCGCGTTTGCAATACTCATCTTCAACTGGATCTGAAATCTTATTTTATTTTGTTGAGTTGGGTGGGCATGTTGGGCATCATGTGGCTTGAACGTGGATAAAACGTCAAGTAAAGTAACTTTATCTCCATTTAAATCAGTTCAAACTTATTGAATAACAACTTCAAGCTGATATAAACTAATAACGTAGTTTAGATAGGGTCTGCGTTCGAAAATATTAAGCGATTTCAAAATTGTTAAATCCGTAGCCATGTTGGTGGACAATCAATTTTGAAATTGCCCTCAGATTCGGACACGTCGAACTGTTGACCATCAGAACTCCAGAACGAAAACTCCTGCCCCGGGACTATACTTTCAAAAAAAGTTAAGAGATCGTAAGTTCATCAGCCAATCATTGACGGCCATTCAAGCATAATCCACCAATCATAGACAAGAATATAGAGCGTAAGTACTTACGTTCACTTAACGAATTTTGAAATTATGGCCCCCGGTGTCCAGTCAATCTCATGTAGAAGTAAGCGATGTCATTCGGGCGCACCGCGCACAACTGTACTCGTAAAACATATAACTCAGTACTCACTGCAGTGACAGTGAGTGACAGAGAGCGCATTTTTTCGTCGACGAAAACGTGAAGTCACGGACAGACGGACGGTCAGACAGAAGGCAGACGGACAGGCAGACGGACATGACTAGCACAATAGGGCATTTTCTCTATAAATGAGAAAATGCGCTAAAAAGAGAGGAGCGCTTCATTGTTATGGACAGCATCTGGGTCCAAACATTTCGCTCTTCAAAAAAACATTTCGTTCAAAACACTCATACAAACACATTCAGTTTGAATGAATTTTATTGGACATGAAAGAGTTCGAAAATTACGAAGAAAACGTAAAATGGGTGACATTTACAAAGTATAAACTCGTGCAGTTTCATGGTGAAAATTTTGTAAAATAGTATTTTATGCATAATACGAATGCTTATAGACTCTAGTAAAAAAATTGAAATTTGTTCTGCATTTTGTAGACTTCTACATTATTCCCAGTATTCACGTAATTTTCAGAGAACATATTATGAAAAATTACTAGGCTTAGCATTAGAAAAGAGGCTATCAGAATCGACAGTTACTTGTACAACAAATCAACTTTATAAGCGGAAAATTTCAATTATTCAGCCGAACCAATTAGCTGACAAAGGTCCAAGAGAAAAAGAAAGTTTAAGATATTGCCTGGTACTTTCCCATCGCCTATTAATACGAAGTGGCTTACCTCTTACGAGTAACGAATGTATCCTCACACGTCACATGGCTCATTTCTGTCCAGTTTAGTGTAAATAATAATCGATGAACATTTATTTTTTAAGTAATTTCCGTGGCGATTGTGTGGAACTTTACATTTTTACATGTTAGAAACTACTTACGTACAAAGCGAGGCAAGCTCGTATATCATGCTGTTCACTACACTAAAGTGGCATTGTTGACAGCTACAAAATGAGCGCAGAAAAACAAACTTTTTTCAATTTTGATCCAGATTTTCCACTTAACCCCCAGCATATTGCTTAGGTCTGCCTAGATCCAGCCGTCTTAAAAGCAATTGCAGCCGTCTTGTTGGCAGAAAGAATACTTGCAGTTATGAATCGGTTACAAATTTCACCGACACAATGAAAATGAGAAATATCGTAATATTATATAAGAAATATCATATAGTAAATGTTTTTGAACTCTGCAGAAGGCACAATTATATTCTACAACGACACAATAATATTGTTTTCTTTAAATAACATGGCCTTTTTCAATCCGTTGCCCAAAAGCAGGCGTGTTGAGGACGGCCTGTGTCATACAACGGTCCAACGCACACGGTTTATCGGTAGGTACAATTTTTTGACATATTTTCGGGCGTAAATTTACTGGTCAACTTCTTGTTTTCGAATATTTCTCCAGCCGCGCATCTCTAAGAGTATATTTATGTGCATTCACCTACGCATTATGACGCGTGGGCATGCGCATATGTCCAATCGTCATGCAGTATGTGGGACATTATGATGTTGGCGTAATTCAGCAGAAGCTATTCTTTTATGCAAGTTTGAATGAAAACCATAGCATTTTTATTAATAATCTTCTAATTCAATTTTTTCAATGAGCCGAACAAAATTTCTTGCTGGCGCCGGAAGATTAAAAATGGCTAAATGACATGTTAATGGAATGCGACGTTTCGAAAATACAATTTTCATTATCAAGCTGGTGAAAGTTTTGCAACACTTGAAAGAGAACTTTGGAAATGACAGTAATACATATCAAGGGTATTAGTGTAGGCTGGCAAAATTTCTTCAGAATTTCAAGGGTAATGTGGACACATTCAAATTCAACCTAAAAATTACTCTGAAAATAATATCAGCGTTTGGACGAAGCCTGTGGTCTGGAGGTTGATAGCTAGAGACTCGTTCTTGATAATGAGAGCATCAGCTATCGCCAGTCTCGGTGGGTCAGGGCACCGCATAACTATGCTGGTGCAGGCCTCCAATGTCGCTCGGGTGATGGTCTCATTGTGAGCCTCCCGCATGTGGTTCTTGGGTCCTCCAGATTGTAGGTGGCATGTGAGTCATCGGCTTAAGGTCGTGCTAGTAAAACAAATGTAGTATATATATTTGAAGAATGGGCACCGCATAACTATGCTGGTGCAGGCCTCCAATGTCGCTCGGGCGATGGTCTCATTGTGAGCCTCCCGCATGTGGTTCTTGGGTCCTCCAGATTGTAGGTGGCATGTGAGTCATCGGCTTAAGGTCGTGCTAGTAAAACAAATGTAGTATATATATATTTGAGGAAGTTTACAACCTTCTTTATTATATATTATAAACAACATTACTTTCTTGAAACAAATCAGATTTTTTACAGGTATTATTATTCATTACAAGGTTCTTAGTTTTTTTTTTGTAGATCAAAAGTTTTATTTTTCCGTTATCCGCTGTGATCTTGATATTATTATGGATGATTGATTGAAGGAATCGTTTGTCTACTTTGTGGCATCTGTTCATCTGGCTTTGGTATAAGATTGTAGTTACGTTTACATTCGATATTTTGATATTGCTGCTTTACTGGTTAGGTTATTTCTGGAACAATTGTCGGATACTTTTTCCTATTTTATATAAAGACCAAAGCATGTTTTTATTAATAATCTTCTTATTCATTTTTTTAATGGGCTGCAGAAAAGAAACGTTGTTGAATTATGTCTGCTAAAGAAATTATTCGTTTCTGTTCTAGGAAATTCAACAAAATTGCGACAGCAAGAAATTTTCTTAGACTCATTGAAAAATGATTAAGATTATTAATAAAAAACATGCTCTGGGCTTCAATCAAACTTACATTATGATGTGTGGACATACCTATAGCATATATCAACAAACCAGCATGCTTATGCTGATGCTCCTGTACTGAAAGTGAAGATCACTTCATCCATATTTCAATAAATATAAATGTTAATTCTATCCAAAGTTTTAACAATGAACTTATAGACGATATCTCTGCTGAGATGTGAGACCACGTGATGTTTTTCTGTCCAATGTTGGCCGATCACCTGCACAAGAAATAAAGGTGTACATCAAATACAAATAGTATATGAAGGTCTGAAACGATCAACAACTTAAGCCAAAAAAATTAATTCCAATAACTTTGATCATTTCTCGTCAGCAGTTGGCCAAACGTGAAGCCGACACGGCAAGTGGCTCGCTCAGCTGATGTTTTTTGGTAACTGAAGAGTGTGGTTGACGAATGCATGTCTACAAATCTGCATGGGCATATTCAACTCCAGAGTTTATTCTTATTAACACCATAAATATTATAGACTTCCATCGGAAATTGATTTAATTTGGTGAACACACAATTGTTAAACAGTCTAGATCCTTAAATTAATTGAGTTGAACATAAATTGAGTAATTGAATTGAATTAGAGATACTTGAATTTGATCCAGAAATTTAATTTACTCGATTTAACCAGATGTTAACAGGGTCCATCATGCAGCCTCTCTCAACAATGAACTTCAAATACCAAGTTACATTATTCGAAGTCTAAGGTTACGAAGAACCATATCATGCAAAGGAATCCATACCTATATAAATCGTTAATAAGTAATTACGTAATAACCCAGGCTGTTAACTAAACCTGCAAAGCTTGAACGTCACTCGTAAACTTGAATGCATTTAGAACTTAATTACGACCGCCGTAGGAATATCTGAGAATCCAACTCCAGGTCATTGAAACTTTCCAAGGCCACATACTGTATAATATGTAACTCATACATGGTGCACGTCCAAACTCGTGTTAAATAGTAAATCTTTGTGGATTATGGTTTCGATTGGATAACAACAAGGCAATAAAAAACAGGTCACTCTATAGTCTATACTATAGGAGCTAATTTAGTTCAGCTTAGTAACATAAAGGTTGAAAGTTTGGATTTCGGGGTGCCATAAATCAGTATAGTAAACATTACTACTCATAAAATAAAAATATGGCGTCAGTTACGTGAACTTCGATCTGAAAGATACAAATTAGTTCTAGTTTTGTATTGCTTTATGCCGTAAGGCACGTGAATAATAGTGCCATTTTTGCGACCGGTCGTTACTAGTTGCATTGAACTCCGACCAACCCCGCTCAATGCCAAACAGTCTTTATCTGAAACCAACCATGCCTACCAACAAACCGGTTCAGAGCGTCCAATCGAACAACGCTACAACTTTACCTGTATTTTAATAATATTTTTTGTCTGCTCTAATTACTATTGAAAATAGCAATCAGGTTTGGCACCGATCCGGTATGTTGGGCGAGGCACTTTGGTGTCCCTGATGTACAGGAGGGCGAGGAGCTACTTAAAGGCAAGCGTGATCTCCTCTGTCGTCGTGCTTCTCCCAACGCCGCACTGCTAACGTAGCCAACATGCAGGTTAGCTCAGCGATATTTCCACGGGTGGTAAATACATTTGTTTTTATATTCGATCGTGGAATATTATTTGTAATATTATAACGATATTTTTAAAATATGTTTTTATTAGCAATAGTGAGTAACTCTCTCTGATGACCGAATTTTTTTAAAAGTTTCGGAACAAATCAAAGATGAAAATATACCACATGAAAATTGGCCTTTGCCACAAATTGTCATCATGAAGACTCTGGCACAAAGTTTGATTCAGGTTTAAAAATTATATTAATTTCATTTGACACTAAAACGATATTATTTTATTTTTTAGGTATTTCATGACTTCGATAGAAAATTTGAAAATTTGCCTGCTCCAGCAAATTTTTCCCTTGGTTTTAAAAATAGTTACGCGTTAAAAAATAAATCGGGCTCATATTTTTCTTGACGCGTGTGTCGCAGGTCGCTGTCCTACTCGCTCTCCTGGCTTCCACGGTCGCCTCCCCCTTGTACGTGATCAGCCCCTCCTCTTCCATCTCGGGTCCCATCTCCTACTCTTCCTTGGCATCGCCTTCCTTGTACAACCCAGGAGCGTACGTGTACAGATCAGGCATCCCCAGCGTGGTGTTTGAGTCTCAACACCCCACGACCTACGTGGCCTCCAGCGGCGCCAAGCCAACTATTTATTACAGGAGCGCGTACGTTGCGCCTTCCGCGGGCTCCTACATAGCATCCTCGGGGCCAGTCGTGAAGACGTATGCTGCTGGTGATGTCTCCAAGACCTACGTTGCTGGCGAAGGCCCCAAGACATACATTGCCGTGGATGGCGCAAAGGCATACAAGGCTGATGCTGGCGTAAAGACGTATACTGCTGCTGATACTTCGAAGGTTTACCTCAAAGCTGACACTCCCAAGGTGTATTCTGTTGGTGATGCCTCAAAGGCCTACGTTGCCGTGGATGCCGCAAAGGCATACAAGGCTGATGCTGGCGTAAAGACGTATACTGCTGCTGACACTTCGAAGGTTTATCTCAAAGCTGACACACCCAAGGTCTACTCTGTTGGTGATGCCTCAAAGGCCTACGTTGCTGCTGCCCCTAAAGTTTATTCCGTAGGTGAAGCATCAAAGACCTACATTGCCGCCGAAGCCCCAAAGACGTACACAGCCGTTGACGCTTCCAAGAAATATTTCATCCCCGTTGCTGCAAAGACGTACTCTGCTGGTGAAAAACCCAAAGGCTACGTAGCAGCAGTTGCTCCCCAGGCCTACGCCAGAGGTGCCAAGACATACCAGAAAAACGAAGGCGCGAGCCTCAAGACCTACTAAAAACCCAGCATCAAATGGACTTCATAGGATGAAGAATTAATTTTTTGAAACTTTAATTAAATGGTTGGACGTTATTCTCCAAATTCTGATGTATTTGTGAATCATTCATAAGCTATAAAAAAATCCCAAATCGCATGTCTCTAATTTTCATTTATTTATCTGAAAAATAAAAACCTTAACTATCTTGAAGAACAATTGGCTGGACTCGTGAATATTAGATCAGAGCTCAATTCACCAAAAATCTCAAAGAAAGTCTAAAACCATAAAGAGAATTATAAATTATCTGGAGACAATAACATCATCCAGAAAAATTCGCATTAAATAAGCCTACTCTGAGAATTATAGCGAGCTCCCATCAGGGTCAGGAGCGAAAATCCGAAATAATCAAGAATTTATTTATATTAAATTCCGATTATTTACTGCATAGGAAAAGTCATATAATCTACAAAATTAATGATAAATATTACTTGACGATTCAAGAAAAGTTCATGACTCTAAGAACAGGTGAAGACGAACCTTTCTCCGTGATACGTAGTCGTATGCGCTTTTATTGTAGGGTTTGAATTGGTCTTTTTCATGGAACTCGAGATGAAGCTAATTCGTCCTCGAACTTTTCGCGTCACATTACTTTCGTTGAATAATCTATGCTTTGGATGCCTGGAACTTCAAGGTACAGTATGAAATTCAAAAAAGAACATATTACAATGAATTCATATTCAAATTCAGGTAATTATGAAATAACTTGATCACGTTTTTCATCAGTGTCTTTCATTAATGCAATAAATAGTGATAAATTATATGTATCTGAGGCGGCACTATTGAAACTTGCTCAAGTATTGATAATAGCCGATTTATCGTCTGTGATTGGCGGGTTTAGCTTTAAATACAGTCAGTGATTGGCTGACTGAGTTATGAACTCATAAATTTTCTCTGTAAGCCTGCCCCGGATGTACATACTGATTTCCTTACTGAACAGAAATAACTTTTATTGTGCAAGGGGTAATGATTCAAGCAATCAAAAATCCAGTCTTTCCACTAAAAAGTCAGTGTAATAAATTAAGGTATGAATACGAGTATTGTATGAGTAGGAGTAATTGTATGAGTAGGAGTAATTGTATGAGTAAGAGTAATTGTATGAGTACGAGTAATTGTATGAGTACGAGTAATTGTATGAGTAGGAGTAATTGTATGAGTACGAGCAATTGAATGAGTAGGAGTAATTGTATGAGTAGGAGTAATTGTATGAGTACGAATAATTTTATGAGTACGAATAATTGTATGAGTAGGAGTAATTGAATGAGTACGAATAATTGTATGAGTACTAGTAATTGTGTGAGTACGAGTAAAAATTTATGCCTTGTGCTCATTTTTTATAATCAAATATTATTCTCTAATATACACTCCTCTAGGTAGAGTATAAGAAATTACATGTTCCTCGCGTCATTTCCTTAGCATTTTGCATCGTATCTTTTTCTTCACGCGGATTTTTGCAAAATTCCTAAGCGCTGCTCGCTTCATACTCCAGTTTTGCTGAAACATTTTATCGAAATTTTGTCGCTTGAATTTCCTCTGAACCTCTCTCATAACTAGTTGATGAGCGGTCATAATGAAGCGAATCGGTAAATACTGACCAAATAACGGTAAAAGACAATTCACAAGTCCAGCATACTCAAAACTTGAAATTGAAATTTTATCTTGATGTGTAGGAATGTCATATTAGATCATAAGAAAATTGTAATTGGAAAAGGGTCTTTGCAGGGAGGTTCGTAAGCGAATAAACTCAGAAATTCTAAGTAATAAGGTATTATTTTTCGGTATGATGTGCAATATGAGCTAAAACTACTATGCACGATAATAATTGCTGATCGAAATAGGATGTTCCAAAAAATTCAATTTATGATAAGAGGAGGTAAAAACTGGCTGATTCAGTAAGTATTTAAGGACTTTAATAAGATTTCATAGTTTTTCATTTATTCTGATTCAGTTTTTAAAATAGTTTCCCTGATTTATTGCATGAGAATTATGTACACACAACAATCGTGAGAAATTTACGTGTAAAAAGTATTCAAATCAAAATTAAAAATACGTACGTAGTCAATTTACGCAACAAGTACATTTTTTCCAGATTTTTCCGGCTGTACTAATGCCCATTTAAATGATTTAAATATAGTAAAATATTCTAAAACATCTTAAATTTATATTCGACTGTTAATTTGCATGCTTGTCAGTAGTGATGCGCCTGATTTTAGGTCCTGAATTCCAAGTAACTTATCGCAAACTGTAACGCCAAATATGTATTGGCCTAACAAAATGAAAACGTCCATAAAACGAAAATTCTACTAAAAATATTCTAAAAATAAACACTTGGTGAAGTGAGCAAAAACTTTTGCAAACGACGCGAAATGCATTTGCAGNTGTCTTAGACGAGACTAGCTTCCAGTTACTAGTGTCTTAGACGAGACTAGCCTCCAGATACTAGTGTCTTAGACGAGACCAGCTTCCAGTTACTAGTGTCTTAGACGAGACTAGCTTCCAGTTACTAGTGTCTTAGACGAGACTAGCCTCCAGATACTAGTGTCTTAGACGAGACTAGCTTCCAGTTACTACTGTCTTAGACGAGACTAGCTCCCAGTTACTACTGTCTTAGACGAGACTAGCTTCCAGTTACTAGTGTCTTAGACGAGACTAGCTTCCAGTTACTACTGTCTTAGACGAGACCAGCTTCCAGTTACTAGTGTCTTAGAAGAGACTAGCTTCCAGTTACTAGTGTCGTAGACGAGACCAGCTTCCAGTTACTAGTGTCTTTACTAGTGTATTAACGCGATTAGCTTCTAGTCACATGAGTTTCATCTTGAGGTAACCTTGCCAGGCAACCAACCAGATACAAGCTTCCTTGAACGTACATCTGAAGAAAAAAAACGATCGAGAAATTTTCCGACGCTATTTATACTAATTAAAACAAGAATCTCAGTCAGGTTTTGGCGTCGGCTGGGCACAATGGGGCGAGGCGCACTTATCCTGACGGGTTAGCTTGACCGGCTATTTAAAGGCTAGTCTCGAGGTCTACAGCCATCTTACTCCACCGAACGTCGCGCCGCCAACTTGCTCAACATGAAGGTAAGTTGATCGCCTCTTGCCGGGCTGCCAGCGCGTCAACTTTGTGCTACGTATTTGACTTAGATGCTCCAAGACAAGTAGATTCATGTATAGTTAAGAGTTAGACTAACCCATTTTAAGTAAATTGCATTATCACACCACTTGCTTCTTTCGTAAGGAATGTTTAAAAATAATTCTCGGTAATAATTATCAAAGAATTTACTCTAAAATATGTTGTTCATTCATAATTTGAGCTTTAATTATGTTAGCAGCTCTATGTTACATCTGCAGGAGAAAACGTCAATAGATTTGATCAATTAAATATCCCAATGATTTCTAACTGCAATGATGAGTATCTTATCGGTGCCTCGTAAAAATCTATGTTATATTAAAGATTGATGAAACTCTTCTTAGTTAGAGCATAACATTGAATTTATTCGAAGCGTCTTGCAGATCGCTGTCTTCTTGGCCCTAATCGCCGCCACGGGGGTTTATTCCAAACAACCCATGATTTACGTGGCATCAAGAGGCATCATTCCAACCACCTCCTTCATGAGTACTTATCTCATGTTGCCTGATGGTTCTTACATTGCTGCCCCCAAGTCCTACGTTTCTGCTGCTGGTCCCAAGACATATTCTGAACTCAGCGCCACCAAGTTCTTTTTCACAGCTGTTGCGCCCAAGGCTTATTCCGCTGGTGAAACTGCCAAGTTCTACTTCACTGCGGTCGCCTCTAAGGATTATTCTGCTGGTGAAGCTTCAAAGTTCTATATCACTGCTGTTGACCCCAAAGTTTTTCCTGCTGAAAAAGCCCCTGCAAAGTACGCTGCGGAGAACACCCCCATGACCTACTCTACTGGAGAAGCTACGATTACCAACACGGCAGAAAATGCTCCCATGACCTACCCTATTGGTCAATCTCCTATTACATACGCAGCTGGCAATGCCCCCATGACCTACCCAACTGTGGAAACTCCGATGACTTACAGTGCAGAAAATGCTCCCATGACCTACCCTGATGGAGAAGCTCCCATTTCAGAAAATGCTCCCAAAACATTCCCTTCTACAAGAAAGATTTCCTACACTCCAGGAAAAACCACCATGACCTACGCCGCCGGCGAAACTCCTATGAAATACGAAGACGGAAAACCTTCGATGACTTACATTTCAGCAGAAGCTCCTATGACCTATGCTGAAGGAGAAGGTCCTATGAAGTACCCTGCAGGAGAAGCGCCTATGACCTATGCTGCAGGAGAAGGTCCCATGAAGTACCCTGCAGGAGAAGCTCCTATGACCTATGCTGAAGGGGAAGGTCCTATGAAGTACCCTGCAGGAGAAGCTCCTATGACCTATGCTGAAGGGGAAGGTCCCATGAAGTACCCTGCAGGAGAAGCGCCTATGACCTATGCTGCAGGAGAAGGTCCCATGAAGTACCCTGCAGGAGAAGCTCCCATGAAGTACCCGCGAAATGAGGTCCCAATCACTGCTGACGCTCCCAACATTATTCCGAGTTCAAAGGTTTGATCTTTACCACCTACTCATAAACCTGATGCGAAACAGTCTCGTTTTCGTCAAGTCACTAGATGAAAGGTGCTCACCCAACATGTAATTTATGACGCAAGATGCGTTCAAAAATTCTCTGCTGTGATCCGTTTGAAAGTCTACAATATAAAGCTTTTCTCCGAAAACTTGTCTTTGAATTTATTTACATACCCTAAATAATCTTGAAGCACGCGGAGACAGAAATGGCGCTTTCGTCATTATTTCTAAAATTTGGCTCAGTTCTGATGCGTAGTCATCAGGTTGGTAAATATTAAATGATCGTACGTCTATGCTGTACAACTTTAATTGGCACTTCATTCGCAATACGACATAAAGTTAATGGCTGATTGATTTAGAACTGATTATCGAGAGCCTTCAATTTCTTTTCTCTATTTCCTAGTTAATTAGAGTCTTACAATATACCATACGCACGAAATTTTACCTCAAAAAAAAAAAAAACTTCGGAATTTGAAACTACACAGCAGTTTTTTCATCAAAGGAAAAGAAAATCAAATTAAGATACGATTCATTTCTAACAACTATACTATAATAACATGACCTTTCCAGGTGCTGTTGTCGTAGATCAGTGGTGGCATATGTCTTAGTGTTCGCTTTTTAAATAAAATATTGATTATCCGTAAGGAATGTATATGGAAAAGTTGGATTGACATGAGCTTAAAATATAGATAGTTTTGACCCGGACCGAATATCTGGCTACGTATGACACTGACGGACCGAATAAACAAGGAAGAACATCAAGACCTCATCCGTGATAATTCAATTAATAATTTAATTAATAATTCATTAATTAAGAATTTATCTTAAAGGGGATCCGCTGAGCATCTCTTCCCTTGGAGAAACTCGGTAGAAGCATTGCATTTTTATGTCATTTGAATGGATGATATGGCTTAAAATCTACATGCCAGGCTCGCGGCAATGGAGCCGGAGTGAGTACCCCTCAGAATGATGTGGCTGACTGGAACAATCTGGAAGAATACCAGAGTCTTGAAGATTCATCTTTCCTTCATTCAATTTAACTATGAGTTGCAATAATTAGCCACTGATATTATAATTGCTGGAAAAATCAAGCATTTCACTTTAATCCGACACACAAGCCCCATAATCTGTGGACTAACAGTCTAATATAATATTTATAAGTTCGATCAAGGGAAAACTGCATTTAGCCTTTGCAATTGAATACGATTGTTAATAATCGGACGGAGGAAAAGCTACAAAAATATATTATAAGAATACACGAGAGCAAGAGAGTCTAATTACGAGTTTGATGCCGCAACGTAGGCCGCTTTTCAATACTCGTACAACTGAGTCGTTTGTCGGTTCGACATAGTTAATCGATGTTAAGGGTTTCATTGATCACTATTTGAATGACCTTAATTAAACGAACTTGATCCATAGATTTTGTGAAGCTTCTTCGAAAAAATTTATACGCAACCTTGTTCAGTCAACGACATCTCTCTGATGACGCCAATGGAAGCATTTGCACAAAATCCAATCGATTCCCGTGATGGCTATTGCAAACATACATTTGTCATGAAATAAATGTATTTGAAAGGCCAAACAAACTATTTTTATGCTGATTGTGCTATACACTATTAAAAGTAAAAAAGTAGCGAGCATTTTGTCCTAATCGTACAGATTTATAATCTATTCGATTAGGACAAAATGCCTCTTTTTTACTCTAAATAGCATCTAATTCGCATGAGATTTGAACATTGTTCCCACCAATATTGAACAATGACTAGAAAATACTCAGCCTTATCTATAATTAACTCGAGATCTTTATAACACAGCACATCACCCAATGATTGCTCCGAGCAGCCCATGGATGTACCAAGCAGCACGTATGTTCCTCCAATCTCACATTCTATGCCATGCAATTCATTACTCGGGCACCCGGCTCCAGTAGGGCGCAAAGCAGAGGTCTCTGACGTGGGCGCATCAGAGTAGGTGTTGCTCGCCAATCCAGCTCTCCTTGAAGATGATCTCGGCTAATTATTTAGGAATTCGGAGATAAAAACGCCATAATCCTATCAACAGAGTAGACAAAAGATTGAAAGCTCATATTCTCCAGTAACAGGAGATTCAACTACCACAACGAAGTGGAATTATTATGAATTAATAATATTGATTTTAATTTATTTCAAAATTTCATATGAACCAATAAATTTTGCAATATATTCAACCAAAGCATCACACGAGAATTTTTGTATTAATTCGTGTCCAGAACGTGTGAATTTAATTCGATTCTCTGATGGCGGACTGGTATAACGAACGAAGTTAGATGGATTAGTATTAATTTTAAAAGCCAAATGCTGAAAAAGTGTCGTTCATGGTAAATCATCGTACAAGAAATCACTCGCACGAACATAATAACTAATACTAACACAGTTCAACGTACTGATGCCTATGTATACTATACAGGCGCATCAGTTCAGGGTCATTAGAGCCTCCCATTCCCGAATGCTTTGATCGGGATTGGTATTACGATGTGTGTAAATCAATTGCACGTATAATTGCTGCGCTATGTTTATTATTGTTGTTATTGTACGGATGTGCGACGTGTATTTTTATACAAGAAAAGGACATAATGTATGTCCAACTTAGGCAAAACTTCCGCTTCAAATATTCCTCAGTTCTCAAACTGATAATAAGAAATTAGAATATTGTTTAGGTTTGTAATTAGTAAGAGAGGAAAAATTAACTCTAACAAATTATTTTCAACTAACGATATAAAAACAACTAAGTATAAATGGAAGCCTGTTTCCTTTACGTCAAATTTGTTATATTTGCAGTATATATACGAATGTATTTTGACGATTGAACATGATTTTTGCCAGCTACTTATACCGACCTTGACTATGGTTGCTATAATGTGCATAACTTATCTCGGGCGAAAACTGCCTACTGCAGCTCTGTCCTAATCAGGTAACCAACCTTGCCTGACTACAATACAGGCATGAGCATCCCAACGAAGAGGCGTCCATTGTATTAATTAAATGTTCAATTGGGTTTTCTCATTTATTTTTTATTGAACAACACAGATATCGTCAAACCGATTTTTACCGGTTTGGCACCGATCCGGTATGTTGGGCGAGGCACTTTGGTGTCCCTGATGTACACGAGGGCGAGGAGCTACTTAAAGGCAAGCGTGATCTCCTCTGTCGTCGTGCTTCTCCCAACGCCGCACTGCGAACGTAGCCAACATGAAGGTTAGCTCAGCGATATTTTCGCGGGTGGTAAATACATTGTTTTTAAGCTCGATAATGGATAATTATTTGTAATTTTATAACGATATTTTTAAAATATGTTTTTATTAGCAATAGTGAGTAACTCTCTCTGATGACCAAATTTTTTTTAAAGTTACGGAACAAATCAAAGTTGAAAATATACCACATAAAATTGGCCTCTGCCACAAATTATCATAATGAAGATTCTCGCACAAAGTTTGATTCAGGTTTAAAATGTAGATTAATTTCGTTTGACATTAAAGAGACATTATTTGATTTCTAGGTATTTCATGACTTTGATACTAAACTTAAAAATTCACATGCACCAGCAAATTTTTCCATTGATTTAAAAGAAAGTTAAACGTTAAAAAAGGAATCAGGTTTATATTTTTCTTGACGCGTGTGTCGCAGGTTGCCGTCTTACTCGCTCTCCTGGCTTCCACGGTCGCCTCACCCGTGTACCTCATCAGCCCCTCCTCTTCCATCTCGGGTCCCATCTCCTACTCATCCTTGGCAGCGCCTTCCTTGTACAACCCAGGAGCATACGTGTACAGATCAGGCATCCCCAGCGTGGTGTTTGAGTCTCAACACCCCACGACCTACGTGGCCTCCAGCGGCTCCTATGAAGGTGATGCCAGTCTTAAGACAAACACTGATGCTGACAAATCAAAGTTTTACTTCAAAGCTGAATCTCCCAAGGCCTATTCTGAAGGGCATGCCCAAAAAACCTACGTTACCGCAGAAGCACCAAAGAAATACACGGCTATTGACAATTCGAAGACATACTTCATCCCAATTGCTGCCGATGCTCAAAAGATTTACTCTGCAGGAAACGCTCCCAAAGATACCGTCGTTGGTAGAGAAGCCAAGACCTACCAGAAAAACGAGGGCGCAAGCCTCAAGACCTACTAACAAATCTGACTCGCAACAGACTTAGCCATGAAAATCTGCAAACGAGTAACTTCCCTAAGCCTGAAATTTCACACAACACAATTTGCATTCACAAACCTGTCTGTTTTTCTCTTTCCTTCGAAAGTTATAATTACAAAACTGATAGAACTTAAGTCATATCTACTATAGCATGCATTTGCAATAACCACCTGAACGCAGGAGAGCTCTGAACCATTCTTTGTTTTATTCCTCAGAAATAAATTTGATGATGATAAACAATTCAAGGACCGTAAACGGATCAATTACAAAATTATTAAGTATGTTTTCTTTTTGAAAATTATTAAGCACTTGACATTGGAAATTAGGCGAAGCGAAAAGGTTGGGACTTTTTCCTCGACGATTTTTTTAAGTCTGATAGACCTCGAATTAAACCGATGAACGACACTGAAAATTACTGAAACTTTTTAATTGAACTGAAGCTCCAATCGAGATTTTCTAAATTGAATGTATTTGCGGATTAATGGCATCGGACTTAAAACTTTTGGGGGGCCGTTTAAACCCATGTAGGTATTAAAATTCAACGAAGAAACGGCGACATTAGGATTAGCTTCAGAACCTCTAAGTATGTTAGGGTATGCTTTAGAAAATTAGGGTAGAATTTTATAGGGTAGAAGCCATTGAATTCGCTGCCTGATCAGCCATAGTAGAATAAGCACTATGATCTATATAGTACCAATAATACTAGACCCGTGTAAGCATTCAGGACATCGTCTTTATTTACAGTAGTGCCTGAAACCTGTACGTATTAAGAGTTCTCATGCCGTGGATGTTTTTAGGCAAGGGGTTGACGAGATTGTGAAGGATGGGAATGAAGATGACGGCACTATACGTGTTAGGAGCGCGGCCAGTGACGGCGTCGGTAACCTCGTTAGGGGATGAAGTACCAGATGCGAGTTAGGCTCTCGGAATGGAATAGTAGAGGTTGAGCAGAGCATTCAGCTCTTTGTAATTTGAATTGTACCCTAGCCGCGCTCCAGATATATGTTCGTTTAGTCCCTACTGATGATGCTCATCTGTTTCGTGTTTATGGGGTCCTGTTTGTAGCTGAACATCAATTAGGTATTGATTGGATCCTAGTCGAAACAACGGGACGAGGCTCCAGATGGAATGTGAGCTTCACGAAAAAATGTGCTGATTCCGGAAGAATATTTGTCACTCAGGTAGTTGTGGGTGGGTATGGGTTGAAGGTGAGCATCTTGAACGTAGTTTTTGAGTAATGATGAAGCCTCTGAATCGACGTGATATATATTTGAATCTGATTGAAGCTGTGAATCAGTTCGATAGCTATAAAGTCCTAACAAAGTCCGTGCATCCGTGTGGTTGTCATTTAGTAATGGTTGAAGCTGTGCATTTACGTTGTAGTTATTGTATCTAGCAGCTTAGTATGTGAACCGAGCAGCTGGCGTGATGTTGCCATCAGTTAGTTCAATGTTGGACCTCATAAGGAAGCAGATTGCGTGGTGAGTATGGGACGCCTGTCGGTGACCACCACTGCCGTGCTTCGAATGGACCATCATGATCCCTTCCCTGAAGAACGTAGCCTACAACACATCTTGACTGTAACATTATCAGCCGCACGCCACCAGACAGATCTCATCCATTGAATTAGATCAATCATCCCACAGGAAAATAAGCCTGGAGTCGTATGGCCCAGCGTCGTCTGCCAACACGCGAAAAAATTTTACACCACCTGGACGGAGCGCGCCGGATCGTACCCATGAGTATGAGCCTGGGATGTGCGACGAGCAAAGGGCTGATCCGATCACGGCTAAAAACGTTGTGACCTAAGGAGCATTGGAAAACACGCAAATAAAGAAATAAGTCAGCAGTTATCAAGTTCACAACACCGCAGGTGCCCAATTTGGTTAATTCATGTTATACTCAAAATAAACCATACCTAAGTACAAATTATCAATCAAAGGAATTGAGTCCGAATCTATGTAATCATGGAAAAAGTACAGGACGAATTAATTGATGCAATTCAATTAAAAATACCATTAATCAGCCACTCAATAGTGTTTGCTATGGCTTGATTGTTCAACTGCATATCGCAGAGGCGGCTGGTGTTCGAGCAGGATAAAATAATTAAGATGTCTAAGCAGCGCGCGTCAACCTTTAAATAGCGAAGGAAGCCGCAAATCCCCAGCATCCTGTCAAGAACAGGACCCTTCATTAGCATTTATTATAGCCTTATAGGATTGTTGTTATAGTCCGTGTGGTCAATACGCTCTGTAAAATTCATAATTCGAGGAAATTACATTTTCTCTAACTAATTTTGGTTTCAAATACTTTGCATTTTGTTTAGATGAGAGGTAGATAAACGTAACAGTATTTTTGTTGTGTGGACTAAATATCAAACAAACAAGACCAATTTGAACAAAATAATGTCAAGAAAAACATACTATGGACAGCTATGAAACTATGCTCTCAACATGGATTCTGAAACATTAGACTTTGTTAAATTAACGCAATCTTCATATTTCACTAACATATCTGCAGAAAACAGTCAAGTATCACATTGTGAAATTATTTGCTGCTACTGCATTCTCAATAAAGTAAACTTACCATGCAGTTATCGCAGGCATATCGCTTGAATGCTCTTCGACGACAGTTTTAGGAATGCTAATAATAATCAATTCAGCAAATGAAAAGATATATGATGAAATTCCCAAAACCCAGGAAAATTTTAAAATAAATTTAACGGTGTTTGAAATTAAGTGAAATCGGAAGATCATCCCCAATTATTTTTTCTATAACTTGAAATAGAAAATATCTAGCGTCACAAAAATCGCATTTTAAGACGTCTTTTTTGATTTCCTCATAACAGTTATTCAATGGCAATCTTGAATTTTGAATAATTTTCTACAAACATTGGTTTTGTTTATTCACCGGCAGCGTCAAGGGTAGTCAGGATTTAACCGGAAGCCTAAATCGCCTCTGCTCCGAGAAAAACGACGTCCGCGGCGACTTCAGATTTTGGCAGATCGGCAGCAAAACCTGCGCCAGATGCTACTTAAATAGTCGCGGAAGACTTACGCAATCACTTGGCCGAGACAGCGCTCAGGCAAAACATGTGGGTGAGTGCTGTCTGTATGGAACTTTATTTTTGTATTACTTGTATAAGTGTAAAATGTAATCTCTCCCTTAAGGTATCATAATAAAACGTGTAAATGAGCCCAATTAATTCAACTGAATGAAAAGAATCTAACTGAAGCGATTATTATGTTAATGAACCAGGAAATACACTGCGCATAATTTTCCTATATTTTGAAACGGCAAAGTTTCACAGTTTCATCCAACTCCATATAGGTATAAGTTTTTTCTTGCTTAAGAAGATCGGGCCTCTCATAAAAAAATTCTAATATAACAGCAGTACAATGCAAAAAACCATGAGCCTCTCACGCGGCACTTAATTACAAAGTAATCTTTTCGATTAGATAACAAGTTTTAAATTTCAGTTTCAAATCAACCTTTTAGTCTTGGAGATTACACACAAAAAACTAGTTAGCCATAAACCTTGATGGGCCTTATATATTGCATTGGTAATAACAGACACACTCAGTAGTTATAAACATATGTCGTTTTTTGGCCATTTTGTCAGTTTACTGTCATGTCAAAATTATTTTATAATTTTGTTTTAACTTGTATATTTTTGCTAGCGTGAATATTTCCGTTTATTTAAGAAATTACTTATCTCAGTACAGTGAATTTTGTCGTGAATTGTATTCTCAGAATCTAATCATTTTATTTATTTCACGGTGATTTATGGCATGTAAGCAGAAATATTCTTGAGGTATCTACAAAAAATTAATTTGATAAGTTCTCAGAACGCAAAATAAAATCCAATTCCTCTTGTCACCGTCAGGTCAGAATCTGTCTCGCCCTATATATGCTTGCCTCCTGCGTGGCCGACGTTGCAGCCGACGACCAAGACCGCCCGGAAACCGGGCCCCTATTCTATTCTCCATACGGTCCTCCGTCGGTGTACAACAGGCATCCCTATCCTGACCTGCCCTTGGTACACATGATTGTCGACATGCCAGCGTCTAATGACGATGCTGATGAACATGATGCTGATGACAACCAATCTGAAGAAAATCAGATGATGGATATCGTTCGTTCAATGCACGACCCTATCTTCCAGAGCACCTTCACATCCTCCCCTCACGGAAATTTCGTCCACGGTTCTGTGGCCAACGCGGTGCCCGGTCATGCTCCTATAACCTTCCGGGCTGGAAGCATCGCGCCGACGGCTATACTCAATAAAAATTCATTGCAAGGATCATTTAGAGTAGACGTCGTTGGTTCAAGCCAGTCCCCTCGGCTGAATAATTCCTTTCTGGCGTCCAGCAAAGATCAAGAGACTAGGAAAACTATGCCCAAAAATAATAGCATTCTCAAGCACAAAGCAGGTATCTTACTCCCAACACGATACCCTGGATCAAGATTGCACCCAGTTGCACACGATTCGGGAGATTATATTCCAATCACGCATTTTGATGGGAGAATAAATAATGATGCTAACAGAGAGAACAGTTATACCAATAGATTCTTGTGGCCTCTTAGAGGTGGCAAAAATCATTTTCGTTCCATGTCACAATTTACTCAAGGGATAGTTCGTAACAAGTATTCAGGTTTAGGCGCGCTTTCTAACGCTCCGATCAGCGAAAATACTGTCACCTCACAGTCTTCTAAGACGGTGCCATCATTTACATTTAATTACAATAATGCACCAAGAGGTCGCACAACTCTGACATCACGAAATGAGGAGTTAGCGAGACACATTGAACGAGGCTCATTGAGCGTTTTAGGTGACCGAAATCTTCCGGTTACCCGTTACTCCCAGAAAGATCTTTCTCACTCTCATTACGAAGGAAATGGTCCTAATATTAACAAATATCTGCCTTACATTCAAAACAACCATGCCAGAAAAATGACTTTCAATGTTCAACGAGCGCAAAGTACCATTTCCAGCGCGAAATATGGCGGCCTCGTCGATCAGAGCGTCTTAGCCAAAAGAAAAATTGTTCCCAGAGGCAATCAAAATCACGCTCATAGCGCTCATAATTCTAAATATTAGAATGTGCATTAAAACTTATTTATGCTGATTAAATGCTGTCATGAACCAGAAACACTGATATCATAAACACTACTTCGTTACATCTATTTTTTTGTTAGCCACCGGAACCGAACATGTGGTAAACTGGACAATTTACCACTGCTGCTCACGATGGTAATTTTTTTGTTTAAATGTAGAATAAATGAGTGTTGATCACCACCGAGTAACTAAATTTCCTGCTTCTATTCAGCATTTTCAGCAAAATGTTTGCATTATTCAGTGGGAATACAGGAAAATGTCCCGTCCAATGCGTTTCGTTTACAATTTTTGGATTACGGATAATGTTTATCATTTTCTGTAATTAATTAATGCGTAGCCATACATGCTTATGTTTTATGTTCAAGAATAAAATTTTTTAAAATTGTCCCGAATTATTATTTCCATATCTTTGACAGATTTACAGAATGTTCGGCGTCAACGTGGTTAAAATTTTACCACTCACTGTACAAAAAATATCTACCGAAATATTCAAGCATCAAATTCAAAACGAAACTTCGGGATAAAGTATATTCAATGGAAACAGTTGTAAAACTTTCAAAAGTGATCCGCTTGGAGCACTTATTTAGAGGCAACTAGAATTCTTCGCTGTCGGCATCAAGACAAATGATAAACCGATGTTTTATTATGTTAATGTACAAATTTGGTAAATATGCAAGCGTTGGCATCCTTCCTTCGTACTTAAATTTTTTGCCACACGAGCTGGGTTATATGAAACAGCGGCGGTGAACATATTCATAAAATATTCAGTCAGGCTATCAGCTTCATTCAGCCCAAACTCCATAAAATATTCACAAAACCAGATAATAAATAGGAAACTCCAGGCCTATAATATCCTCACTATCTTACTTTAATATTTGGATAATGACTCATTGAAACAGAATAATTTCAACAATGAGTTGAATACGTATTTTGAAAGATGAGTGATATTGAACGCGTTCCAAATCTCAGAGGAAAGAAATTGAAAAGGAAAGGTTTCAAAAAGTCATTACCTTTTCTGTTTACGAAAGTTTTTGGTCGTATGTCGTGTACAATTGTAAAAGCATCATCAAAGTTAGTTTTTTTAATTTTGTTTTGTTTTTTTGTTTTTGGACCCTTCTTTTCCTCAGGGTTTTTTTTAGAAATAATAGTTATAGTATTTGATTTCTTTATCATCAGCTCATATCAACATGAATATAAAACAAAAGAAAACGTCGCTGAAAGTTACACTCGTCAACACCTAAATTTTAAAAATAATACAACAATTCACCTCCCATTCGTTTATTAACAAAACACAACCGCATGGCAGTGAAATACAGAAAAAGAAGGTGCAGTAGCATAACAATGATTGCGAAGGTCGCAATGCTGAACCTGACATAGGACTGAGCTAACGCAGAGACGTTATGTGAACGCCGACGCACTCCTTCGATGTCTCTTACGAACATCCGCATCCGAGCTCGTGGTTCGGCACCGACAAACAGCGTCGGCCTTCGTCGCTCTAATGACCCACAGCAATTTGCATAATAATTTAGTCCATCGAGATGGACGCGTTTTCCTGAAGTTATGGTCGGTCTCCGTACAAAAATATTGATTTTTTGAATGCATGCGTTCTCGTGAGAAGATTGAGGAAGAGGAAATTTATTTATTAAGTACAGCAAATTGAAACACAAATGTTAATAATCAAATAAATGCTGGAAACATAGCATGAATGAAATATGTTGGATAGAACTTGCAAATAACGGCGATCAATAAACTAATTCTTATTCTATTTGCTTGATTTAAAACCTATTAGGTGCAAATTGCATGCTATTTCTAGCATTTCAAAGTAGAGGTGAATACGAGGAAATGTTTATTCTACTCCTCCGAAGAATCTTCGAATGTCTTACAAATATTTGTTCTTCTCGATCTTTCGAAATCCTTCTTGATTTTATTTCGTCACTAGGTTGTCTTCGTTTAAGATGATGTTGTTTTCGTGCTAAGAAATATAAAAAAATCTTAGTGATTTTAAAATATCTATAGTTCATTAGCATACGCGTAAAACTTATTAGCTCAATTAATGAAATCCTACATCTGAACGAAAAAATTAAAACTGATTTTGTCATTACAAATAGTACGAGAGTGATTAGTAGAATATGCGTGTGTTTTAATCCTGACGCCTTATATATAGAAGTATTATCCAAGTTCTTTCCACAATTCTTAGCAAGTTGGCTCATATCATGGATCGTAAATCAAACATTTTGGATACGGAATCCAAATAACATTTTTAATATGGAAACATAATATTTTATTGATGACTAAAACTCTACCATTTCTTCTGATTTCAAAACAGGAGTTAAATGGAGTGCCAGAATAAATGTGTGTTTCTACGGATCACACTTTTATTGAAATTAATTTCTTTTGGAAATATTTAAAAAACATAACTCAGTACTCACTGCAGTGAGTTACAGAGAGCGCATTTTCTCGTCGACGAAAACTTGAGGTCACGGGTAGACGGACAGACAGACAGACAGACGGACGGACGGACATGGCGAGCACAATTGTGCATTTTTTCCATAAACGAGAAAATGCGCTAAAAAATAGTACGTCTCTACATGGAAACTAATCCTTTTCATTTCCAAAACCCCTTTATTATGGAACGATTCACGGTATTTGATAAAAAATGTAGGTTTGAATTTACGTTTACCTAGACAATTCCAGTGACAAGTGATGGAAGAATATTAATCCATGATTCTCCATGCAGTCATGCTTCAGTTCCTCAAGAGATTGAGATGCAAACGTAAATAACAATATTTAACGTATATTTATCATTATTCTTTAATTATTGAAAGGGTATTACATTGGGCGTGCGTTGTGAAGTATTTTAATTGCATAGTACATATTGCGCATACCTCGCATAGTGCATTGCATAGTGCATTACGCGATTGTTTTGCAGGATATTAAGTTCAAAGTTCATATTATCGCATACCTCGCATAGTGCACTGCGTATTAAATTGCGCGTGCTTTGCACAGTGCATTGTTGAGTGTGAGGACATTGCGCATGCAAGGCGCCTACATTGCCTGATTTACCGCGTAGTTTATTGCTTTGTATCAAGGGCATCGAATTTTCGGTAAGTATACATTGGACATGGTACATTACATCACGCAGTACGTTGCGTCTATCATTACGTGTACAACATTCTTGTTCCACAGTACATTGCAAATAACAGTGATTAAAACGCATTGAATAGCGCAGTAAATTTTGCACAATGCAATGACAAGGTCCTTGCACGATACAATGGCCAGTACATCAAGTAGTACACTTTATACCGCATTACATAGTTCATTGTCCATTACATGGCGCAGTAAATTTTGCAGTGCATCGCCCAGAAATTTGTCTTTTTTAAAGCTCAATGTAATTTTACAGTGCATTGCAAATCATATTGTCCAGTACAATGCGGAGCACATTACACAATGCATGACACAATTAGTTGCTCTGTACTTTTTAGAGTACATTGCCCAGTATATTGATCAATACACCACCCAGTACATTATCCTAGATATTGCGCAATTTTTGCAATTATATTATACAATAGAACTCACAGTTCATTGCGTGAAAAAATGTGCAGTTAATTTCATTGTACATTACCTACCCATTACATTCCTCCCCATGTCATCGCTTTTTATCAGCTTATGATTTTCAGTCGAATTTCATCATATGTTTTATTTTCATTCTGTATTCCCGGGTCGCACATATCGTTCTATCACACAATTTGTTATAAAGCTGCACATGTGTGTCTGACCGACCTTTATCACATTCAAGCCTATGTTATAACCTTGGTGACATTTGACCATATGCAAGTTCAAATACTGAATGACACTGAAACAACGTCACTCTGAATGTTAATAAATATTGATAGGTAGTCTATTGATTTTTTTCGAAGAAATAAGTCAAACAATAAAAAATATTCTGTTACCTTCAATTGATGATAGAAAAATACCAGAATCACCCTAAACTCATTACTTCACAATGAATATAATAAATAGTAATCTTGCCCGTTTACGGTAAAAACAAATTACTGAGGAAAAATACCACCAGATTATTCGACATTGACAAGCAAAGCTGCCTAACTTAACAATATTTTCTGAGCAAAGAAGCCGATGAATCATAGCATTCTCTTGGCCAGCCATCACTAACAGGAAGCGCATCGCTGGGACGGAAGATGATGTCTGCTCGCATATATAAGGACAGGGTGGAGGCGCATCACCACATCTTGCTCCACCACAGCCGCATTAGCAACTTGTACAGCATGCAGGTGAGAAACTTGAACAAACTTGAAACTTGACTTACGTGCTACTGAAAATATGAACGAGATAGTAGAATTATTGTATAGAATTGCTTTTTGTTTATGACTTATTTTTCACATAAAAAATCAGGAACGGAAGAATTGTAGAACTAAGCGTTTTAGCGACAAAGCGGAGTCGAAGCGTTTTTTACCTATGAATGCTGGTCTTGCGCAATACGAAAGATTACCATGACGTGAATATTATTTTTCAGATCTTCGTTGCATTCGCTGTCATCGTGCAGGCCTTGGCCACTCCTGCAATCCAAGACCCAACCAGGCTGCGGACTCGCACTCCTTATTTCCCTAACATCGGGCACCCGCACGCTGGACCAGTGCAAGCTATTCCCCAATTTTATCCCACAGCTTCACTCAAAGTTGCAGGGAATCATGCCCATTCAGATAAGATCTTTCGAGAAATTCCTCAATTCTATCCAGTAGCTTCACTAACGGGAAATCCTTCGAACTTCGAAAACAACTTGAGGACTATTACGGAATTTGATCCCATTGCTTCATTAGCTGAAGCGGGTAATCCTTCAAAGTACGACGGTGGCCTCGAAAAAGTTCAATCAAGTAATTACTTCCCTTATGCGAACGTCTACTCCAACCTACCGGCACTAAACTTCGTCTCCAGTTCGCTTCCAAGTGCAGTTCCAGGAGCGGCTCCGATTACCTACAGTGCTGGTAGCATCGTTCCTTTCCTTTCAGCGTTTGCAAATGGCTACCCTAACAGCTTTAGAGCAGTTAACTTTCCGCAAAGTAATTTCCTTGAAGAAAACGAATTACTCAAGGCCTACGGTAACAAAAATGTTTTCATTCCGAAAAACAAAGCAAGCGAATACGAATCGCAATTTGACTTAACCAGTCAATACTCGACACCGTTCCATGCTTTGGGTGCAAACACAATCGACCGTTTCGGCTACGAAAACGAAGCGATCCCACTGAAGAACCATTTCTATGACGATGATCAAGATGTTGATGATGATGATGAAGTAGATGACTATGATGAGGATGTTTCTTCATCTGTTCATCACCAAAGAAATTTGGCATTTGCTAAGACTCAACCCTT